TTGGGGTCTCAACTTTGTGCCTCATCATTGCATTGAGATCTCTTTGTCTCGAAATCAACCAAAAAAAAATTGGAAGTGCTTCAATGAAAATAATTGATTAAATTGCTTTTTATTACTACTTCAAGAAATTATAATAAGGTAAAGAAATGGAAATGGAGGAATTCCCTGGTCCTACATTTTTGTTCAGTTGCCCAGACCGGGATCCTGGTACCATTCATTAAGGTTCACTCCTTTTTCTCTCCTTATGTTCTTTTATTAATCTACTAATGTTGTTAAGCACTTAAGTTCTCCTTTTCCCCGTTTTTTCAAAGATTGCGGCATATATAATAGGTTTTGATTTTTTTCATTCCATTTGATGAAACACAAAATTCCAATGTACCAGCAGCCCAGAACCAGACCTAAGAGCTACTTGCATTCTTTTTCTAGCTAACACAACCACGTGATCACGGGGGGGTCGGTACATTTTCCTAATCCCTTGTCAGAAGAGGAGATAATTTAAGAGAAGGAAGCATAGACCTTGCTCGATGAAAAGCATTGGTCTGGCCCGCTACTTATCCATGGTAGAGAACAAGACAATGCCTATAATTGAAATGGAACATTTTGTCCGCGGCTGCTTTAGCCATTATTCACCCTAGTTGTCCTTCCTTTTGTCACTATATACGCATCAAGTCGATTGATAATTCAAAATGATTCCAAATCATTAAAATCAGTGCTTCTTCCCCGACAAATTTCAGTTCTTGGTTCATCTTGAACCTTACTCTTTCTTGAATGGATTTGAGAGATGAAGTGCCTATGTGCAAATTGTAGTTGAAAAAATTAAAGAAAGAAAAATGATCAGAGGTATGTCTATTAGCTGTATATCAAATCAGTAGGGCGATGAGTGAGACCATTAAACGCGGTGACCCTCCATTCCACGAAAGTCATATGTTATCAATATTTTATTTCCTAAATTATATTCAAATACAAGCAAAGCAATGTATTAGCCAGCGAGGAAAGTCATAAAGTGCTAATTAATTACTTCTTTAGGATTTAAAATAATGTTACCAAAGGCCTTCTTTTTAAAGATTATTCCCTATTCCATAGCACGGCCAAGGCTGCCCGCTAAGTGGAGATTGTGAACCTTTTCTTTTCTTTCTTCTTCCTAAATGGGTGGGGTTTGTGCACTTAGCTTGAATACATATATAGTTCTTTAAATATTCTTTGGAAGCGTTAGCAGAGAACACTTGACCGCCCAGGTCACAGGCACCCTCTTAGTTCTTTTATGGAACCATGCTTAGTTAACTTGGCAGCATCAAACAAGTATATATGTTAGGTCCAAAAGGGTGTGTCAATAGCACACTGATCACTACGTTCAGGGGGTCATTACACGGTAGTCCGAAGTAACCTTTGTGAACAAGGAATCGAGCAGCTGTTCATTAATTCCCAAATAAGAAAAAGGGGGGTGGAGGTGCAGAAAAGATAAAAATTTTCAACAGCAAAACACAAAAGAAATTGATGTATCATATTCATTACACGAGCACTTAGGGACAAAATGTAGTGGAGTTCCTTTTTGAGAGAGGGTATTTAATGATGAAATTTGATACTAAACAAAAGTCGGGAACTCCCCCCCCATCTCTCCTTTCTGTTCTCCAATATGGTCCGCCAGTTTAGTCACCAGATGAACCGGAACTCTTTTCTTTTCTTTTCTTTTTGTTTTCCCCTTGTTATTGTTCAAAAGTTGGTTCGAGTAGCAGATTTATATAAGATAAAAAAAACGCCCAACCACCCTTCCCAAACAAAAGTGACTAATCCCTGATTCCCAAACGTCATGTCCAGAACGTACTTTGTGCATTCTTTTTGTGTGGTTCTCACTTTCTCTCTCTCTCTCTGTCTCTCTCTGTGCTCTGCTGTTAGTCTCATTTATGTTATCATCAAGTGGGCCGAGGGGAAATTGAAAATAAACAAGAAAACGCACTTTCTATTTCATTATTTTGCCCAACTTACAACATATATTATGGAGCATTTTGAGAGAAGTTGCGAAAGTTCCTGCAGATTGTGGAGTAATGATTGCATGTGAGCGGTTTGACTATCAAGTGCTTGATTCTTTCAAACAAGCTTTATCAGAGATTATTTGTGGCACGAACTTTGGGATCGGGCCGTGATTGATGAGTAGAAGACTCCACATGGTTCTCGACGAGAACTTTAAGGGCCATTCATTCCTTTCTTTTTCCCTTCCCATGTCCATTAACTCTTCAAGCCAATGGCCATGGCCTAGCTATCAACTTTTTTTCACAAAATGCTAGCCATATGCAAGAAGCAACCCAATAGTGGGTCACTGGAAGCTTCTCTCGGTTTCATTTTTACAGAAAAACACATGGCTACAGCCTCTTTAAAACAGATCATAAAGAGACTTTTCATGTACTTTAATAGTACTGTACATTATATGAATGATGAGTTGAGAGTTCCATGTACGAATATTTGAATAATCTGAGACGCATTTTCATGAATACTTAACAATCTGAAAACGAAATTCAGAACTTCAATTCTTTTTTCTTTTATGCTTTTTAAACCCGAAGTCTATGTTTGATGAACCGCATGCAGCAAGCAGGGCGCTTTCTGCGGTATATCCGCATGCATATTTCATAAATTTTATTGTTGACACTTAAATCAAAGCCTTAAAAAAACTTAGTCAAAAAAAAAAATGATTGACATTTAGCACATGCTTCAGGAATTCGTTAGAATTACGCAAAAGAATGAATCATAATATTAAAAATGAAAAACAAATGCAGTCATAGCATAAAAATTGATCATGTCGCTGATCAAGGCCATGAGCCAACCCAGCTAACCCTTATCTTTTTAGTTATTTATTTCAGCTGATGACATAAGCTATGCCGAATAAAAAAACTTTATCCCCTAAAACAAATTAGAACTCAAACCGCCGACTCTTACTCAGCGACAAAACCAAGCCACCACCTCTTCATGACCAGCAACAACAACCTGTTGAGGGGGCCATGCTAAACCGAGGCAGGCGGCGGCCTGGTCTGTGGAACTCTTAAAACGTTTTTCATTAAACTCTTAACTTAATCATCTTTCTTATAATTTTCTGGAGAAAATTTTCTGTTTGGCACAACTTTTCTACTTTCTATTCTTAATTCTACTAATAATTTCACATATTTCCTCAAAAAGAAAACCCCTATATTTTATTTATATCATTTAACTTCTCTGAGCTTATAGAAAAAAATACTATTCTTTACTTTTTTTCCCCTTTATCTGCTGGATAAGTGACAAATGCCCACACCTTCTAATTAATTGTCTTAAACACATCACTCTGTCTGCATGAATTTAACACAGGAAAAAACAATTTTGTGAGAACGATTAAACAAACATAAGAGTGAAAGACCAATTTCTATTTAACTTCAAATGAGTTTTTTTATTTTCAATCAGCAGAAAGGCCTGTGGCCTACGTATAAAGCATTTCACTCAATTTTTATGCCTTGCCAACATTACATAAGCCAACCAGCCCCTGGAAAGAAGTGTGAAAAGAAAAATGAAAACCGAAAAGGAAAATCAATTGCCGTTGCCTTTCACGGAAAATGCTAGGGGCTCTCTAGACAACTTTACTAAATTTTCAATTAGCAGGAGCTGTAAAATTATGCACAAGACACGCGTATAAAAATCGTCCAATAGCTTTTTCCCTTTTAGATATGCAAATAGCATATTAAGCCATCCATGATGGTGAACATTGAATGCGCAAAAAATAACATATTGCGAAGCGAGACACAGAAAGTACTTGAAGTTCAGCTGCTAATTCGAATAGGAATACAAGTATCATATTAAAGTAACTTAATTTATTCACATAAACAATAGGTAATTACTTTCCAGCAGTGTTGTGCAAAATATAAAAGACAACGATCAAAGACTATCTTGTAAATATGCGGAGGCAAACACAACCAATGCACAGATAGAAACACCTAATAAGGGACCTGCAGGAATCAGTTTCCGTGTAGCTACCAATCGTATCCCTAAAACAGTAACCAGATAAGGAGAGAGAGAGGGAGATAAGGATAAGACCTTATATTCCATATTTTGATGTTTAATGAACTGACATGAAATGCATCTAAATCATTGTGCACATGCGCCATGGTCATCAACACAGTAAAATGTAAGAGTATAAAAAAAAAATTCAAAAAATAAACATACCAAATACAGAGGAGAAAAGGAAGGCCGATCCAAAACCAAGGGCTTCACCAATTGCTTTTGTCTCTGATGCTTGCATAAGAAAGTAAGCCTGAACAGGACAACCAAATATTACACAACTATTGCATTTTACGGTAATATAAGTTCTATTTAAATAGAAGACTAGGTTTTCAAAGAGAAACTAAATTTTAAATGATCCATTTAGCAATAACGATGACACCCAACAAAAATCAAGCAAATTGAAGTGAAGAAAACAAAAGAGATAGCACTACGAAGTTGGACTGTGTTGTTTTTATAAAAACTTCCACATCATGTAAAGATCTTATCCAGAAAATCCTTAAGGAGCACAATTAAAGCATTCATTTGAACCAAGGACGTAACAGACAATGGTAATTGTTTGAATTTAGAGATACAATTTAGACAAACATTTTCAAATGCTTCATGATTCTGTGGGGATGACAAAATTAATAGTGGCTTGGATGTGGTTAACACGGAAAGAAATGAAGAAGAACGCTGGCATTGGGATGATTAATAAAATGGTTACACTTGAGGAGGCTATTATATTATAGCTCACAAAGAGGTACTTTATAGATGGAATAAGAGGTTTAACCAGAGATTATTTATTTATTGTTTATGAAGTGGAGTGAGATGTAAACCTCGTTCCTCTCAAGAATAGAAAATTAGTGTGAAGATGCAAGTCAAATTTGGAAATATCAATGTTTCAAATGGTGGCATGAGTGAAGAATTACAGAAATAATAAGAAAAGGAAGTCTGAAGGTTGAGATGGAGGATTATCAAGTCAACCACGGAAAGAGGAAGAATCGTATGCCATCTCTTCTATTTTCCCTAGTCATGGAGTATATAATGAATAGCATGCAGTTCACATAACCAAAAAACTTTTAATTACTTAATGGTATAGTTTTCCAAACTCAGAAGATCACTGACTAATTGCCTATGTAGACAATATCAGAAGATGACTAAACCACTCTCACATTAATGTTAATTAGAGAGTTTGTGTCTACAATTGCAAACATGAATTATCGAGCAGCATTAGGCCTTCAAGTAACAGCAGCCTGACCTATCAACTTTAATATTTTCTTCTGTGACCCAAAGGGAATAAAGCACATCTTCACCAGACAATAACCTAAAAATATACACGGAATCCAAAAAATGAGGCATATGTACTCAAACATGATTACTGAAAAATTGTAAATGCAAGCCAAAGAAGAAGTGTCTAGTGACAGAAGAACATGCCTCAAGTATAAGGAGATTTAAGAAGTGACAAAAGGAAATTCAATTGAAACATGTAGAGAAAGAAAAGCCAAAAACTTTGATAGATATCATATGAGAAGTAATTGTGCGCCTTCAAATAGAAATTTACAATAGTAAAGACAAAAGAACAATTGGTCTAAACAATACAATTAGGTGCTGGGAGGCTCAAGGCTGGCAAAGTTCACGTGTAAAAAAATACCAAACTTTTAGTTAACACATTCCAGAAAAAGAAACAAACTCAAACAATGATAAGACAACAATCTAATGGTGTCTTGCAAGGTTTCAACAGGATTTGTTTATAGCATAGCAATTCAACATTGGAAATGATAATAAATCTCAAAAGCTCCTACAGCTGTCCAAAGAGCAATTTAGCCCGATATGGTTTTAATATATTTATTCTAAGTCACCACTTAGAAGAGCAAAACCCAAGCATATCAACATTATTGAAGTAGTTATAATGAAGCACAGGAATGGTGGGATCTGTCTTTCAACGAACACCACAAGTAAATGAACAACCCTAGAATTTAGAAATGGAGGATGAAAAGAACAAAATGTCTGTTTGTGTTAAAAACAGTAGAGAGTTAATGGGAGCAGTGACACAAATTACATGATGATTATTATAGGGCCCATGTAAGCTAAAATCAAAGTCAGAAGGATGATAAAGCAAGCAACAAAGCTCACAATCACATATTATCAATAATTAGAATGAAAGCTCAGTTGACTGAACCAAACCAAACAAATGGGGATTGTATAATTGATGTTCCGTCCATCCCACATTTCAAACGTATGAGAAATAATGTAAGGCAGTAGGAGTAAGGATTTAACAAGCATAATCTGCATTTATAGCAACATCACAGTAATTTTGAGAGGATAAATTGGGTCTAATTTGAAAACAGATTTAAAAAAAGAGAAGGAAGAAAGCACAAGTAAAAAGAAAACGTCAATAACAGAATGCAGAAGAAGTCGAAAGTAAACATACAGATGCCATAAGAGCAGCTCCAGTGAGGCCACCAAAGAGTGATCCCTTGCTTCCTGATTTAGTAACTAGAAGCAAGTTTGAAATTGCAAATTATGTTACTGTGTTTGGCAATTTTCCAATTGGTAAATGAAAGGAAAGCATATCGAGAGATGTTAATGCAGAGTAGAGTTACAGGCAAAGAGACCGCCAGAGAATAGAAGCACCCCATAGGCAGCGGAGGTAACAGCGGCAAAATCTGCTAGCTGAGATTTGCAGCAAAACCTTCTTCTAGTCCCGGAACAGGATTTTGCTTTCCTCAAACAAATGCCAACCAAATCTTTGCTTTTCCCATTTTGGAGATTTAAGGGTAGGAATTTTGGATGTTCGTTTGAATTTGAGGCGCCCTTGGCCGCAGCAATTGCCGGAAATGGAGTTACTAACGGTGACAAAGAGAACGACATCATCTCCAGCGGTCGGCGTCAGTTTCACTTCCTCTCCCCGCTCTCTTCGAAAAGACAAGCATCGACTTGCCCCCTAGCCTGACTTTTGGGCCTTCTTTGGTTCTGCTCGGGCTGAAAATATTTCAGGCCCATGAAGCCCTGCCAATCTAGGGCCGGGGCTCTATCCTTCTAACGTTTTGAATTCAAACCGGCACACTTCTCATCAAATAAATAAAAGAAATACAGGCACGCGTTTCCGTAACGTCCCCATCCACTGTCCTTGTATTTGCTGAAACTGAAGCAACATGAACGAGAGAGAGCCCAGAAATACCAAATTTAAAAAAATGAAAACAATCAATAGTAGCATTGCAATGGTCATTTTCAAAAAGGGCAAGAATCAAATAAAGAAAACTTCAAAATCCAATTTATCTGTCCGCTGTGCTTTCACTTTCCACTTACAGTAAACTTGTTGTCCTAAAGAATTGTGGATATAATTTACAGGAATATTACAAGTGCTAAATTCCAATGCGAATCTTTTGTTTCTGTAATTTAGGGGCACACACTGCAGGACAGGCCCTGAAATTTTGACATTGCAAATCTACTTACAAGAGAAAGGGTATAAAAATTGAAACTATTTATAAACAATTTCAAAGCATAAAAGCCCAAAGCAACAAAGTTGTCACCATCAATTAGTTACTCGTGGCAACCTTTGCCAGGTGAGAAGAGGAAGTCGATGGAAGTGATTTTGTCCTTGATTGTTTGCATGATTTGAGAAGCGGAAGGCCTAACAGTGGGAGACTGGTGAAGGCAAAGTGCAGCAATTGAAAGCATAGCCCTGGCTTCTTCCAAGTCAAACTCTCCAGCCAGACGTGGATCCACCAATTCTGCCACTTTCTCCTCCGCCCCACACTCAGCGATGTCCCTTAAATTGGGTGCCACTATTGACGTCAATAATTGTCCCCTTTCTGGACAAAAGGCTTCCATTCCAGTAACAAGTTCCAAGATAATAACGCCCAAGCTGTAAACATCGTTCTTTTTGGAGGCGAACCCAGTCCTCAAATAATGAGGGTCGGTGTAACCCGGTGAGCCGATCATTACTTGCTTTGTCCTGGAGCAAGACGGCGGTATCACCGTAGACGAAAAACCCATCTTTGCTGACCCGAAATCGCAAAGCTTGCAATTAAAATGCTCATCTAGCAAGATATTAGAAGCTTTGATGTCCCCATGAACTATTTGGAGGGTGCATTTTTCGTGTAGGTACTCGATTGCCTGGGCAAGTTGGAAAGCTATGGCCGTGCGGGTTTTCCATGGAAGTACTCCCCTTTCCATTTCGTGTAGCTTCTCTTGTAAGTTTCCATTTGGAACGTACTCAAACACCATGGCCCCTTCCTCTGGACACAAAAATTTGAAAGGATCAATGAATAACTATTCATTTCGAAGTAGTTAAAAAGCCTTTTTCTTTCACTTTTCAAAAGAGTAAAGCAAAAGACTCAAGCAAGGTACCTAGATCATCGCAGTAACCAAGAAGCTTTACGATGTTGTCGTTACGGAGGCGAAGCAGAATATCCAGTTCCTGTTTGAACACTTGGTTCAGTCGATCGCTACCAACCTGGACCTTAACTGCTCCTTGACTGGAACCAGACAGGTTAGCCAAGTAGACATTGCTAAACCCTCCCTGACCAACCACGCGGGAGAAATTCTGAGTCACATCCTTAATTTCTTCCCATCTGAATTTCCTGACAAACTCTTCACCTTCAACGCCAGAATCTTTCCCCTTTTCTTGATCAGGTAGAACGGTGGACGTGGGTTTACCGCGTCTGAGCTTCCTGAGTCTGAGGAATCTGAACAAGAATCCCATGGCAAACAACAAGGCAAGGAGCAAGACAAGAGAAACAATGATGAGAATAGCGATTTGAGGGTGAGCGTGCGGTTGGGTTGTTTTTAAAGAGGGTGTCGGCAGATCACTGGAAGTGTGAAAAACAGTAGAGGGCATGGGGTGGGAAGCGACGCAGAAAGTGAGTGGAGAACATAAAATGAGCATTGGTACTAAAGGGGAAATGGATGGGATGGTCCAACAACGCCAGTACCAGCAGACAAATTTTGAAACACCAAAAATCCATGCGCTTCTAACCTTAGATTTGTCAGTAGTCAAAGCTGTACCCATGGGGACGCACATAATCCGACAAGCTGGATCTAATATTCCGATCTAGAGTGCGAGAGAGAGAGAGAGAGAGAGAGAGAGGCGGAGAAGCGAAGCGATGGAAGCCTCCTAGGAAAGCCAGAGAGGTTCTTCTCTTTTCGCCTAATAAGCCATTTGAGTTTGACCGACCGGCTACGGAAACATTTTGCTTGGTTTTAAAAATATAAAACAATCAATTTTTTTCAAAAAATAATATAATAGTACAAAAATTTGAAGGTTGAGACTTGACAATTTCTTTTTTTTTATTTTCTAATATAAATAAAATTTAAATTTTATTAAATGAAAAAAAAAGGGTAAGACGATGGTGGCATGCCAGAACCAAGACCGAGGGCTAGGGATTATTCCCTTGTTTATGTAATTCGTTATAAAAATGTAGTAAGATGGAATTCAAATTAAGATCGCTGGCGTGGATTAACATTTAAAAAAAAAGGATTACTACTAATTGCCGGTCCTTTGCTCTCCCTCGTAACACGTGGCAGCTATTAAGGTGGCCCCTCTAAAGTTTAAGAAGTGCATTTTTCCTTTATAGTTAATCCCATTTAATAAATAGTTTTAAATTTCTTTCTTTTCTCCCTTTGAGGCGTGGTTTTTTTTAAGCAACACTCGTGACAATTGATGTATTTTCATTTAATGCATTGAAAGGATCACGCCCATAATCAATTAATTCATTAAATAAAATATTATTAATTAATTAAGTGTTCTTTCACTAACACTGACTTATTTTTAATGCAACCAAAAAGATTTTTGCCATGAAAATCCTATAATCTTAGTTTATAATTTACTACAATGATTGAAAGATGATCATCCTCACAATGATCTTGTGTCTGAAAACTATACTTTGCAGAATAAATAATTCTTAATTAGTTGAATTGATGAAATTAACACTGAAACCAACTCCACTACCTCCATCATCTTGTTTCATTATTTGAAGAGAATAAAAGATGTCCTACTAATTTAATTATGCGATCTAAATAATAAACGTGTTTTTTTTTTTAAAAAGTAACAAACTCGTCAAATTAAGCTTAAGAAAGCAACTTTTGAATGGTCCATTTGTCGGTCACTCTATAACTCATTTTTCATGCGAATTTAATTGTTTTTTAATTATGTGTGTGGTTCATATTCGTTAGTTATTTATAATTTATTGATATAATGATTTCATTGTAAATTAATAATCAATATTAAAACATTTGTTAATTAGGAAAACTAAGTTATTATCGTTGTCAATTTCACTTAACGTCCTAATCAATCTAACAACCCATTCCCTGATGCCCTTTTATGTCGTGCAACTCTGTTTTTTTTACATTTTGCCATTTTTTATGATGTCATGATTTTAATAATGATCGATGACCGCACGGTGGAGTGACCATAAGTATTTAATTTCTCTCAAAAGTATTGGTAGTTATTTTTTACAGTGACTTTTATTTGTTATTAAAGTGTCATTAGT